AGAGAGAGAGAGAGAGAGAGAGAGAGAGAGAGAGAGAGAGAGAGAGATGTTCATAAGCCTGAAGAGTACCCATGATCTCCTGTTTCACCATGGTTTGATAACTTGGCTGGGTTCAGACAACACAATAACCCATGTTTCAGCAAAACTGACACTCAACCCATGAGCGTGTGTTTTTGTGTTCAGTGAACTGAGTCACTGCACTCTTGCTCTCTCCTGCCCCCCAACCCAGTTAGGATTTGCATGATGGTGGCCTACAACTCCTGTTATCCCTGAGGAACATTGGCCATGGTGGGGGGTGATCAGAATTATCTAAGTGAGCAAGCAATGTGGCTAAACCAGCTTCTAACCTTTCCTTCCTGCTCTAGGTGCCTCTCACTGTGCTTATTTCTACCACTCCTTCCTTTGAGACAGTGGAAATACATTGCAGTGGGGTAAGGTGTAGGCCCACATAACTGCAATGACTTAATATGAAGAAGGAAGAGTATTCTCCATTTCTAATCTTTGTAGCCTGGGCAGGCAGCAGCATTGAGACTCGTCATACTCTCCAGTAGGCTTCAGTCAGTAATGTGGGTTTTTCCAGGAAGTTTTCTGTGTTCAATATTAGACAAAACTAAAGTACAACTTGTTAATTTCATATGCTGTAAAAGCTGCTGTGTCCCATGATCTTTTTCCCAGCGGCAAAAACTCCTTTAATTGAAATACTTGATTAACAGTTCTGGCGTGCATAGTGTTCTCTAAATATTACATTCAAAGCTCTTCTTGAAAAAGTATTTACAGGTATGGATGCTATGAGATGGTGGTTTAACAGGATATATTGTCTTTGCTTAAATATAATGTGAACAGAAGATCAAATTGCAAAAAGGTGACTTTTTTAATATAGCTGACTTTTACCATACCCAATATAGGATACCTAAATATACTGTATTTTTCCTAGGTATTGTCACTGGGGATGTGGGGAACAGAGTAGGTGAGTGAGGGAGATAAACTACAGCTTTAAAACTGGACTGTTTTTTCTGATATCAGTAATCACAAATTACATTGTTAAGGCATATAGCTTTTTTAAGAAAATGCAGCATTTCCATGGGGAAAAAATAGTTTCTTAAAAAAAAAATCTCCCTGTTGGGCAGAAAGTTTTCACATATCTTAGATACTGTTAAGTTTCGTAGGGACTGCATTCTGGTAGAGTTTGCACATTGTAGAGGTGTCCATTTGCCTGTGCTGGTATTTTGCAGCCTTTCAGACCTGGGACTCATCTTCAGCCCAGATCTGTGTTCAGGATCCATTACCGTTCTGTTCGCTTTGTGATGCTGAGTTAGCTAACCTTGTGTTAGACCACAACCCAGTAATGCATCTCAACCCACCAACAGAAAGACAAGAGAGCACTACATGCAGGCTCTTACTTTATCCTGCTGATTATTCTGTTGCAGTGCTGAAACAGATGTGGGAGAAAAACTAGGGGAAGCTGTGGCATGGGTTTGGGTTAGGAGTTCAGTGAAGGGTTTGTTCCTGTCCGTGTGTGATTCGTGTCTCCTTGGGTGTGCTTAACTGGCACTCGAGGCACTTATTAGAAGGCTGCTTTCTTGTCAAAAGCAAGCTTTTTCAGGAAGCCTGGATTATGCAGACCTTGCTAACTGTGTGGAAAGGAGCAGGCTTGGTCATTGTCCACAAAGTAATGGAAATGGATATTGACAGAAGATGCATGAAAGGAAGCATGTGAAATGCAGAGTGCTTGTACTTTGGTAATACAAGCCTAAACTTATGAGCAGGTGTTCAAACTGCACTTGAAAGCCGCACACTGGTGCAAAGGCAGGTGGGATGCGGAAAGATAATCCTAGGTCTGTTCGTGCGTTAAGTTTCTACTGGCTTGCTCTGCAGGGAAGGCCTGCGCTCTTGTCCCCTCCACTGCCTGCCATACATGCGTTTAAAAGGGTATGATGTGCTTTCAGAAATAGCACTTGCAAGGAGCTGGCAACTCTCGCCTGGGATTGCCAAATCAAGCACATCTTCAAAAATACAGTTTCTATAATCTTGAACTGCATTGTTAAATTTTGCAGCAGCTTTCCTTGGGGGGGCCAAAAGGATTGTCTCCAGCTGGGGAAGCGCTTGTTAAGAAGATAGGTGGTTTTGTTCAGCACGTCTGGGCAACCAGAAGATATATCTAGTCTAGACATTTGTGGATTACAAAGCTGAACAAATAGTTTGAGTTGAAAGATTGGGATTAGACTTGTCAGGCGGTAACTGCACTTAGCTTTTATGTCGATTGATAAGGTTTCTTGTGTCCTTTTGCTATGAGGTGGGTTTTCTGCTATTTCATTATGTTGTACCTTCTACATGACTCCTAACACACATCGAAACATTACATTTGTATTGTTGAGTTGTATATTTAGAGTAGTATTGCCTTCTTGTTCGAACTATCTCTGATTTCACTTTCTGGTATTTTTCATGTTCAGGAGGATACAGGCAGGCACTTTAGAAGATGCCGCTGCTTCAATATTGGCCTTACAGATTAGACCTGTTTTTAAGTGCTTTGAAACACAGTTACATTTTGGCAGAAATCTTTATAGCAGTCATTATCTCCCTGCCTCTGGCTCTACACTTAACAATCTTCTCTTTCCCCACAGATTGAGTTTGACACAGCCTTGAAAGAATCCCCATCCAAGCTCATAGTTGTTGACTTCTCTGCCACATGGTGCGGACCATGCAAGATGATCAAGCCTTTCTACCATGTATGTAAGCGGGTGTACTCGCATTTCCTGTTTTGAAAAGGATACCATAAATGGAGTTCTGCATGCTATTCTCCACAGACGCCAGGGAGTGTACTGAAAAGGCTGAAGTGGGAGAGAGGGGGAATATTCAGAGTGGAAGTGGCTTGAAGTGTGGACTCCCTCCCCATACCACAGTGCTTTAATTTGAACACGCACACCAAATGTTAAGCCTGCACTCTCTTGTACGAAATGAAGTTACAGCATTGCCTTGGTTTTTTCCCACCCTTGATGGCTCTTTTTAACAAAGTCAGAACTCACCAGCATAGTGAGCATCCCTTCAGTGTGTCAGCTGCTTTTTGGGCAGTGTCCCTGCCCCCAACTGGCCTTTGCTGCTTCATGATCCCAAAATGTAGCACTGAAACAAGAGGGCTGTTTGGTTCAACCCTCAAGAGAAGCACAGCGTGGTGGTGAGCACAGAACTGGCTAGACAGGCAGGTGCCTCTCCTGAGTGGCTGTGAAGAAATACAGGGACACCTCAACAGCTATAGAGGAACTTTGGTGTTGGAAACAAGACTTGACTGGCCTTCACAGCCCTTGGCCTTGTTTCTATTATGAGCAAAACCATTTGTTGAGGGCAAGGGGAACAGACAAAACCAGAAGAAATTATGCAAGCTCAATGTGCAAATTTCATAGAGAGCAGAACTTGATTCTTTTGGTGTGAGTTCATACACTGGCTGAGACAAGAACTTGATTGAATTTGCTGTTAAGAAAAAGAGGTCATAAATTGTCTGAGCTCTGTCAGCAATCTTGCTGGTGCGTGTTCCCTGTCCAGGTCACATGGATTAGATGAGTGGAGCCAGCTGGAGCCGGGGGTCAGACTAGATGGCCCAGGAGACCCCTTTTGACTTGCTTTGTTTCTATATTTTTGTGTTGCTACATGATTTTGTATCCAGTACCTTACAATCTCCGCCCTTTGCCACCACCATCAACACCCTTACAATAAACAAGCACCACCATAATCTTAGCTCAGAATATTCTTAATGAAAGTTGGGGTGATTCTTTCTAATCTGCGTTACATTCCTGAATAATTAGAGTAATATTAACATTATTCCAACTGAATTGTGATGTAAAAGAGGGGGGGAAATCTAAAGGGTTTCTGTACCTTCTTAAAGTGTGGTACCTTTCTAAAATTCTCTTAGCACAGTGGGAGCGGAAGCAGTTCCACCTTGTGCCCTGTTGCCCACCTCCTTCCTAGCCTGCTCTGTAGCATATCTGGAGTCCTGTGTGTACCAGAGGTCGAGGGTAGAGCTAGTGAAAGAAATCATGGTTGCCTCATCCTGAAATGGGGCACCTGAAAGTTGCATGTTGTTGGGGTTCTGGCCTTACAACCTGCATACCCATTTACAGGCAACCATCGAGTTGATACAACTGGGCTTGACACTGATGTGTGTGTAGATGCTTGATTCCCTGCATCCTGCCCTCTTCCGTCATGAGGGATATGAAGAGCGGGGAGAAGACGGACTCCATAATTTTCCTTTGGCTCCTTTAAGCTTTCTCTTGTGCAGTGAGGAGGAATAAGGGGCAGGGGAACTGAGCTGAGCCGAGAGGTGGGGCTGCCTGTCCTTGCTGCTACAAAGGGGTGGGACCTGATGGGTCCTATCCATAATAAAATTGGAAGAGACCAGCCCAACCTCTGATGGGATTCTGTTACTCCTTTATACAGGTTGGTCCTCAGTCTCTTGCCTCTCACTCATTAAAGGGCAGGTGACTACATCTCTGTGTATGGAAGAAAGTGTCCCTGAGCTTGACGTCTTGTAATCTTTCCACTCTGCTCATGGATCAAGATAGGGCGATTCTGTTTGAATGGTCTAGTGGGGAAGGGAGATGAATTGAGGAAAAGAAGAACAACTTCTGGCAAGTTGTTCCAGAGGCAGAGAAGGATCTTTTGTACATGGCTTGGTGGGCGGGAGGGTCCTTTCTTGTTTGGCCCTCCATGGCCGTGGTAGTGCCAGACAGCGCCTTGCCTATCTCACAGCCTTGGCAGTCCCTGGCCCTGCAACCACCCAGAGGACTCTTCGCCACTTGAGCATCTTCAAAATTGGGAAGAAGGCTGGACTCTTGTCATGATCACTGAAGGGCACAAACAAAACTGCAGGCACCTGAACTTGCCTTTGAGACCTGCTAAATGCTTATCAGATACATATAGAACGCTTGAAGCATGAAACACGGGCCTGTTATGTTTCATCTGGAAGCATCCCAAAAAAGCTGTTACTGAGAATGCTAACTATTATATGCAACTTCAAAATAGGAAGCTGCTGTCTAATTTGTCTCTTTTATTAACAGAGTCTTGTTGAAAAATATCCAGATGTAATATTCATTGAAGTCGACGTGGATGATGCTCAGGTAAGTTCTAGACAGATGCTCTGGAAGTTGCCGTGCTTGATTGGCTTTGCATGATGTGGTAGGTTAGCGTGTTGTGTGAAGCTGGGATGGGTTTGTCAGGGTTTGGGCTACAAGCCGCCCTGATGGGTTTGTCAGGGTTTGGGTTATAAGTTGCCTTGAGTTTGTTCTAGGGCTGTTTCACCCACATTGTATTGGCCTGTTTTTGTGAAAGTAGATGACGTGACCCATCGTGATGAAGATCCGCTGCTAGCAAACTCCTAGGCAGGAGTAAGGGCAAGTCCCCCTTTCTGCTTTTGTTAAATGACTACTAGGCAAGCCCCTCTGACCACTTGTAACCATATCCATCACACATGTCTGTGTCCAGAATGACCCAGTTTCTACTCAAACTCCCATTTTTAAAGTGGCCCAGAATTTTAATAGCTAGCTAGATAATCCTTTTTCTCATTGGGAAAAAGGGGGGCATGTTCCTGAACCACCTAGAGGCTTGGGACAGACTGTGAAATGTACTCTTCAGTGGGCGCTAAAGTGGAGGGGGAAAGATGATGCTCTTGCTGTGAAGTGGGTGCAAATCCTCCCAAACATTCCTTTCCTTTCCTGGCAACAGATCCCTTGTGTTGTTCGTGTCTCTTGGCAGCTTGCCTCTAAATCCCCTCAGTTCAGCAGCTGTGACCAGGGGAAGAAATCGGTGGGGGGGGGGTTTTAAATGTTAGGCAGTTTTGGGCAGCCCCACAAGGGGCCGTGGGGGCACTTGAAGGGATTGCCCAAACCCCTTCAAAAGAGGATTCACAATCTCCTTGGGGGAAAGAGTTTAAAGGGGGGGGGAAGCTATGGTGAGCCCCAAATGGTTTGCTGTGAGGGTGGGGAGAGCCTGTGCCAAGTTTGTGTGCCAGATTTTTTAAAAAGTAGACAACCACTAGTCCTCCAAGGAATCATGGGGGCATGTTGGAGGGATTCTTTATAGCTGCCAAAATGGAGATCACAAAAGGTGGATTGAGGGCTCCTTTTCTCAGAGGGGGAAAATTAAAGGGATAAATGCTGTGGTGTGCAAAACTGGTTCATGGTTGCAGCCAGGATATGGTGGGGGGACCCCAATGCTCCCTTGAGATCCCTTGAATTTTTGGCAGTGGAGGGAAGGGGTCTTCTGCATTGAATCTCCCTTCCACAACCAAGGCAGGTTGGTAGGAAATGTTCCCTAACTTGAATCCATTAAGGTGGCGGTGCCTCCCCTTCATGTATTCAAATATTCATTCTGTGACAATTTCCCAGAAATTTCCCAGTTGCTCATTCAGAGAACACCGAACCCTTTTCAGATCGTGCATCAAGCAGCATCAAAACTGCTGAAGCTTGAAAGCCTACTGTGAGATTTCATGAAGCTGCTTGTGGATTTTGGCTGAGCAATAATTTGCACTTGTCAGGGAATCCTATGGACAGGAGTTCAGTTAGTGCTCACCATTCAATAAAATATTTCTTTTCATAGAACTACAGTTCCCAGGGTTCCCTGTCAAGAGGGACTCATGGTTCAAACTGGCTTCAGTCCATAGTCTGGATATGCCCTGTGATATCACAAGTTTACCAGATAAGAACTCCCAGATTCTTGGAGGAAGCAGTACAGAGAAATTGTACAGGATATTAAAGCTGAAGGGGGCAGGGGATTGGGGCATTTTGCAACTGAAGTATCAGCAGTCCCATAGACTTGTTTTACAGTGGCTAGAAATGAAACTAAGAAACTAGAGGTGCACACCTGCATCCTTAATCTTGGAACAGACTAAATGACCTGTAGCTTCTCTCTGGTCTTGAACAATGGAATGAGCTACCATGGCTGCCTATGTGGACAGCTTCAGAAGGGGATTCAGCACTTTTATGGAGGATAGAACTATCAGGCATGCCCTCCTACTATCTCTGTGATCAGAGGTAGGCTGCATACCTTTGAATACCACTTGTTGAGGAGCAAGAATGGAAGGGGGTGGTCCTTGTGTCCTCGTTAGTGTTTCCCAGGAACAGCTGGCTAGCCTACATGTAAACAGAATGCTGAGCAAGGTAAGCCTTTGGCTGGTCCATTGTTACCATTACATTTAGTGCAAAACCCCTCTGTTGCATCTCATTTGTCTCCCCTCTTGCAACTGGGAACAAGTAGTTTAGCTTCATTCAGAATCATTTGTGTTGGTATGGCCTTCTAAGGACATTTCTAATCTTGACTGTTAATTATGCATCATACCAGACTGAACCAGGTAACCTTTTCTTCTCTGCTTCTAGGACGTTGCCGCAAACTGTGAGGTGAAGTGCATGCCAACATTCCAGTTCTACAAGAATGGTCAAAAGGTATGTGCTCCCACTTTTCCAACAAAATTAGTTGTGCAGAGATGTCCTAGGGCACAATGGTTTTCTGCCCACTCTCCCAGCCTATTTTGCTTGCCCTGACAAACTCAGAAAAATGTCCTTTTTTATATATAGTGTTGCTGCTGATGTACTTTGCAGCTTTATAGCAGCCTTACTAAAGTTACTAGCCATTGGAAGGATCCTGAAGAAAAACAGGTTGCCTGATCTGCACTTATGTGTCTGTTTTCTGTGCAAAACTGCAACCAAACTTGGGTATGTTTAAGGAGGGGTAAACTTTTTAGAAGTGAAGAAAAGCTAGAATTCTGGGCAGAAGTTGGGATTTCAGATATACGACTACTGAAGGACATATTCCTAGACCTCTCTCTGGCCCACCTCCAGATGTACTAAGGTCCTGTATGATCAGATGAAGGGATCTTCTATGACCTCTGATCTGTTGATCCTAGTATGGTTTTTATTCTGACCTTGCAGAGTTGGGATCCTTCCCAGCCTCCCCTCTGCTATAGGCCATTCCACCTAATGGGTTCGGTTCAGGACATATTGAGCATGAAGGAAGGTATGGGGAGGGAGGACATGGGAGTAAAAAATAAGAATCTGAAACCAAAAATGGTATTCACCTTCAGATGACTGCTACAATAGGAGTTGACCTAACTTCAGAATGCCATGTAACTTTTTAAAGGGCTTCAGTTTCTCTGCTCTTATTATTTCAGAAAGTAAAAAGTGATGCACCTTGAAATAATAGGGTTTCAACTTGACATTCCTGTATTTCAGGTTGCTGAATTCTCTGGTGCAAACAAAGAGAAGCTGGAAGAAAACATCAAGAGCCTCAAGTAACCATAGGTCCCTGGTTAATGAAATGCTGACTGTTAAATTATAGCCTTTTCTATATGACAAATTGATCAAGTTAGAATATGTATCCAGATATGACCATTTGGACTGTAAATGAAAAGAATAAAGATATATAAACAGTTCCATGACTCTCCTGCTTCTGTTTGCAGGTGTGACTTCAGTTATCCTAGCAGTAACTACAGAGCGGCCTCAGGGGTAGATTGAGGGCACAGCTGAGTTCTCACAGAAGGACAAGCCTTATGTGGTGTGGCAACTTGCCATGATGGGTTGCTGGAAACCAATGAATTGGCTCATCACAGGGCCTTCACTTCCTCCCCATTTTTTTCTTTTGTTCCTCCCGGCAGTATCTCTCTCGCTGACAACTGTGATTGCAAACTGAATGCACCTTAATGCACCTTATTTAATTAATTTCTATATGGCCTGATAGCTGAAGCTCTCTAAATTCAATTCCCCTGCCCAGCTTTCACATTCACTTCTAAGCGCCCAGCAGCATCCTAGAGGGGCTGCCTATGCTTTCCTGCTATTTGTGTGTGTATGTGTTTTTGTGCCAGCAAGATTTATCGCTCTGCTACTTCGGGGCATAATTTGTTTTCAGTGTATTTTTAATTCTGTTTTAGCTTTTTCCGGTTCATGGCTCTAGAATCTACCTAGCAGTGGAGTGGCATACAAATAGGGCATATAATTAAATGCTCTCCCTTTGTTGGGACAGTGCAGGGTGCAGGGGTTGCCCCTTTGCGATTGCTTGAGCTAAGACAAGGGGCTGCTGCTGCTGTGCTTCAGGGCATGAGCCCTGTTTGTGCAACAGGAACTGTGTTTTTCCTGCTCTGTTGCACAAGCAGAGCACATGCCTTGAAGTATGCAGGGAGGGCAGGCGAGCAGACATTGCTTCAGCTGTCAGGCTGACCAGACCCATGTCCACCAGGGTTCACTTGCAGTGACAGTGCATGATGGATCACCGCCTCAGCCGTGGTGCAGGAAGGGCATCCTTGCCAGCAGCTTGAGAGGCAAATGAAAAAGTCTCTGGTAGTTCTGTAGTGCCACTTGGGTACTTTGATGGTGGCTGTCAGCCACACTTGCTGGTTAGCGTTTTTGGCCATTCATTCATTCATTCATTCATTCATTCATTCACTCAATTCATCCCAGTTCTATGCTGCCCCGTAACCCGAAGGTTCTCTGGGCAGCTTACAAATGCTAAAAAGAGCATATAATACAATTGATAAAATAGATTAAAAACAGTAAAATTAATAGACTGCAACCATCTCACAAAATTATAAAACCACACTCCACATGATAGATACAACCAATAAACTAAATAATCACTAACAAAATACCTATTATAAATTAACCAAAAGCTCATTTGACCAAAAAGGTAAAACCTGACATCTAAAGGAAAGCAAAGTCGGCCCCAGCAGCATGTCCCTGGGGAGCGAATTCCAGCGTCTGCGCACCACTGCAGAAAATGCCCCCCTCCTAGCCCCCCCCCTTTGGGGTGATAAGGGGGGTATTTGGAGGAGGGGTTTAATGGTCTTGTAGGAATATAGGTAGAGAGGGGGCTCTCAAGTACCCTGGTCCCAAGCCATTTAAGGGCTTTATATGTCAAAGGCAACACTTTGAACTGGACCCGGACTCGAACTGGGAGCCAATGCAGCTGATGGAGGACTAGTGTAATCTTTTCTTGCTGGCCACTCCTTGAAAGCAGCCATGCCGCCCTTTTCTTCATTAGTCGCAGTGCAGGTCATTTTCAAAGGTAGCCCCACATAAAGCACATTGCAAGAGCATCGAGGAGCTTTTGCTGTTCTTAACAAGTGGCTCACTTACTGTGGAAGCTTGGCCCATGCTGCCTTGTGTTTTCTGGACTGCCCTTCTCCCCAGTTTGCAAACCATAAAATCGGAACTGAGGTCCCTGGTGTCTTATTATATCCTGCCATGTGCAGAAGTTGCCTTTTACAGATGGGGACCTGCAGTCCTAGTGAACAGTGCATGGTTTTTCAAAACAAAGTAACACTCCAGATTTTTTTGGGACCACAGCTTCTCGAGTCACTGGTCATCCTGCTTGGGGCTTACAGAAAGTGTAGTCCAGATTGTCTGGGAGGCACTTGAATTGTCCACCTTTGACTCAGCCACGCATCAGGCCCTTGCAAGTCCATTAGCAAAAACTCTGTAGCCTCAGTGCATTAGCGGAAGGTAACAGAGGTGCCTGTACTCGTACCAATGTTTAAGGAGACAACAGCCCATGCTCCTTATACCCAACTCATTCAGAGGCCAATGATTGCCATGTCTAGTATTCCCTGTATGGTGGGCAGCAGCTCTCAAGAGCTTCAGATGGGAAGCTTCCCAGCTGCTGAACCTGAAATCCTTTACAGAGTAAGCAAGGTGCTCTTTGCACTGAGCTATGGCCCTTCCCTGTTTTTCAGTGTGGCCGTTGTACATGGACACTTGCATGTGACTGTACACAAAGGAAGTGAACTTGACTTCATGTTCTCAGAGAAGGGATTCCTGTTGGACAAGTTGAAATGTGCTAATGAAGAGGAAAGCAAACACTAAGCATTCTTCCAGCATCCTTTATAAAGCGATCTTGCTTCCTCTGTCCCTTGAAGCCTCAAAAGGACACCCAAGAGGTAGGTATGACTGATTCTTTCTGCCTATGAGTCTGGTGCACCTACTTATTCTGCATTTGTTCTTCCCTGTTTAAAACTGAAAGGATACAGATTGCAAAACAAAAATATGTCAGGGACATGGTGCTTTATATTCAAGCACCTGAATAATTGGTAAAAACAAGCTAAGCACTTCATCTGGAATATGCAGGGAAATAACTGAATATAAAGTTAAGAAAACTTGTGAACTGCCTTTTCTAAGAAAGAGAAATAAAATGTGATTTGAAACACTGATATCAGGCTGAAAGGAATGAAATATTAGGGATAAGTCAAAATTCTATCTTATAAAACAATTTCAAGAATAAAGTTGTGTGTGGAATTGTTAAATCTGAGGCAGGATCAATATTACTGTCAGTCTGAACAAACTGTAGTTTCTTTTCAAACTATTCCACTGTGTGCAAGGTAAGACATTATAAGAATGGCCAGAAAAAATGCTGAACACATCCTGTAACTTCAATAAGAACTGGAAAAATATGTGTTAAATATCCATGTTTTGGCATTAAAGTCCTTTTTGTCTTCAGTGGGCTCAGTCACTAGAAGCAAGTCCGGCTAGGAGAAAGAAGTTTCCTTTAAGAGTACAGAACTTCAGGCCCAGAGTCCAAATGTGGTCATTTGAGTTTCCCAGCTTGCTGCCCCATCCTGGTCCTATAGTTTTTTCACTGCCCACTGATAAGGCAAGGAGAAAATCCATTTCTTTCTGGATTTGTCTTATTTTCCCCCATTCTAAAAGGCTGAGATGTCTAATACAAGGTTCATTAACCGGCAGGAAGAGCTTTAAAGCTATTGCCCGCATTTTGGATGTTGCTGTTGACCTTCAGCCCCCTCCCCACTCCAGCGCAACACAGTCTCCAAGAAGTTCTCTATGACAGCATTTGGGCCTCAGGCTCGCCTAAGTTCAACAGCCCTGATTTAGGGAGTGGGGTTGTACATTGGAAGGCTGTAAGTGGAGGAGGCAGAGTTCTTCATTCTGAACTTTCACACCTCTTACTAGTCAGACTGGGCACTTTCCCTTCTGCTTCTCTGTATCAGACCTTTACATTTGCAGACCTGCCTCCATTACAGCAAGTCTGACCCACCGAGTTCACGATAATCCTATTTTGCTCAGGTCTTTCTCATAAGCAGGTGTGTACACAGCAAACAGGTAAGCTGGTGCATTTATGAATGAGTTCCCAGCAGAAAGACACTTCACAACTTCAAGGTGTGACAAAGCATTTATTGTGCTTGGCTTCCTGTAAGAACAGGAAGTTGCCTGTTACATTTGTACTATCGCCTTCCCCGTATTTTCGCCTTTAAGCATACCCATGAATGCTGCTGGCATGTTTTCAAAGCCTTTAGTGACGTGTTCATGACACTTTATTTTCCCCTGCATAAAAGCAATAAAAGGATTTGAAACATTTAATGACCTATTCCTGAATATGTTTAAGAATAAAAATTGCAGCTAATACCGATTCGGAGCGTTTGTTGGGCTTGTGGCTTGGACTTCAGAAACTGTATTTCAGGGCCAACAGTACAGGTCAAACTCGTACACCCTTCTGTGCAGCAAGAGTTTGGGTTGTGGTCCAGTCCCTTAAGTGCTTAAGTCCTCGCAGCCTTCCTATAAGTGTGGCTTTCTGTGGAAGAGGGCCAGTGAGCTGGCCAGCTCTATAGATGTTCCTGAAGAATATATGGCATGCAGGCTAAAATAAATCCCCATCCTTCCATTTTGGCAAGATGGAATAAAATGAATTATTAAACAAAAGAACTGCATTTAAGATCTCATGTCACATTACACCATTCTGAGATTTCTAATTGAAATAAGGGTGGTCACGTATCAAAGCCATGATATAAATTATCTTGCAGTCCTGGCCTTAAGTAACACGTATTTACACTTTAAAAGATACAATGCCTTGCAGAAGTATTTCCCTCCCCTGTTGATTTTTTCCATATTTTGTGGATCAACAACTTGGAACAGAAATGGCTTGAATTAAGATTGTTACCACTTGATGTACCCAAGATACTCAATGATGAACCTGTCAAGTATTTTTAATTGGGATACAAAAGTCAATCTGAGATCCTAAGGCACTGAAATCACACATGGTCGACTTCATTCAAAGACTTCATACTGTACTATGTGACTTCTGGAAGCCGTGAGTTGCACCAGAGTTTATCTAGACATGCCACAGCAACACAGGCAAGTGTGTGTCAGTGTGTTTGTGAGTACTTATGCAACTGACAAGCACCAGTTTGTTTTTGTTTGCATCAAATAGTCCTGTCTCCAGAAGACCCTAGATCAGGGGTCTCACACTCGTGGCCCGCGGGCCAATTGCAGCCCGTGGGATATTTTGTGGCCCCCACTTGATATCAAAGTTTAGTGATAGTGCGGCCCGCGCGTTTTTCTCACATGCACCTGCATGAGTCGTCACCCTGGGCGCAATGTTCCCTCTAAGAATTTGATCACAGGTTTGCAGATTTCAAGATACACAGAGCCACTTTTCAAATTTTTGCTGACCCCTCCTCCTTCGATGTGGAAGATGCCCCCCCCCCGCCCCCCGTGCTTCAAATGGAGCTAATTGACCTGCAGTGCAATTCTGAACTCAAAGCCAAGTTCAGGGAGGTGAGTGGAAAAGCAGACAAGCTTGGACAATTTTTGAGAGAATTGCCCCTTACCTTCCCTGAGCTTTCCAGGATGTTCAAGCGGATCATGTGCCTTTTTGGGAGCACCTATCTGTGTGAAAAGCTCTTCTCCACCATGAACTTTAATAAGTCAAAGTTCAGGTCCAAATTTACTGATGAGCATCTTCAAGCCATACTGAGGGTCTCAGTTGCTTCCTCCCTCAAGCCAAATGTGGCTCAGCTGTGTAAGAGGAAGCGCTGTCAGGTCTCTGGCAGCAAGGAGTAGGAGGAAGTAAGAGAAGCCCATGTTCTGAAGAACCGTTCATGTTCTGAATTATTATTAGTAAAGATTGAGAAGATTGGATCAGTTGTACTTTTTTTGGAATACTTGAAATCCTTTTTTTGTGGAATACTTGATGCGGCCCAGCCTCACCCAGACTCTACTTCCAGTGGCCCCCAGGTAAGTTGAGTTTGAGACCCCTGCTCTAGAATATGCTGGACAGCATATCTTAACACAAAGACCAAGGAACTATGAAAACAAATCTGGGCTAAAGTTGTGCATCAGGGTTGGATTATCAAAAAATATTTTAAACTATGAGCATTTCCCTCTAGAGCACTGTTAAATCCATTATTACAATATGGAAAAACTATGTTTCAGCTGCAACCCTGCCTAGAAAAAGCAAGGAGGGCATTGCTCAGAGACGCAACCAAGAGGCCAGTGGTATCTCTGAAGGAACAGAAGAGATCTGCAGCTGAGATGGAAGAAGCCATCCATGGGACAAGTAACACCCAGATGCTCTGCAAAGTGGGGCTTTATGGAAGTGCAGGAAGAAGAAAGGAAGCCATTGCTGCAACTAACCCATGTCAAAGCCCATTTGGTGTTTGCAAACAGGATGTGGGAGACACAGCAAGGATGTGGGAAGCAGTTCTATGATGTGATGAGGCCAAAATTGAATTTGTGGGCCTTGTTACAAAATGCTGTATGTGGTACAAGCCAACAGTGTATGTTGACCTAAGAATAACTTCCCCATGGTGAAGCTTCGGGGTAGCAGCAGCATCTTTTGGGGATGTTCTTCCTTGGGTGAGGAGTAGGAAATGGATTAGGATTTCTAGAGGAAAATTTGCAAATAAAAGGTAAATAAAAGGTAATTCTATAGGAAAATTTGCTACCAACTGCAAAGGTCCTGGATTGGGGTAGAGGTTTATTTCTGTCTAAACACCAGCCAAAATAACCCTGGAGTGGTTTAAAAACAAGGGTCTGGATATCTTAAGAGCTGTCCAGGCAAAGCCCAGACCTGAATCCAACTGAGAATCTCCAGCAAGACTTGAAAGTTGCTGTTCACCAGCGGTTCCCATTACACCTGAGCAGCTTTACCAGCAAGAATGGGCAAACATGGTAAGATGTAGTACAAAGCTAATAGAGACTTACTCAAGAAGACACAAATAAAATGGCTTCTACTTACTCGTGGGTGGGAAGGAAATGTTCATGCAACCTACAAGTTTGTTTTTGGTTTCTTCACTTTTGAGCCCCAATAAAAATATTTTGCACCTTCACAGTGTTGAGTTTGGTGTGAACACCAAGCAGTAACAATACCAATTCAAACCATGTCAATTCCAGGTTGTACCCGTAATTGTGGAAAAGCTGAAGCAGCATGTTAATACTTATTTATTTATTAAAACATTTCTATGCCGCCCCATTCGCCGAAGCCTCGGGGCGGCTCACAACATAAAATTAAAATATAATACCTACAACAAATTAACAATATAAAATAAGTCGCCCTGGCCAGATACTTCAAGCACTGTAACTGCTCTATCTGGTGGATGGCTGTGATTAGTAACTAAGCAGCAGCTCACATAGACTATGTCTCAAAGCCACACCTCATTGGCTTGGTTGATGCACTGACTTTCTTCACAATGGATGATCTTTGGTTCTCTCTAGAGAGAACACTTGTTCAGGTATGTTGTGTGTGTCTGTGTGTGTGTGTATGTGTATAATTATAAGGTGCATAAATATAAAAACACTGTGAGACCTCATCCACTTGCATAGCTGGGAACCGCAGAAAGAGCTTACCTCTTGAACCCATTTCAGCAGCGCTCCCAGCCCTTCTTCCTTCCTGTTCTCCCAGCGGGTCACAGTGAAGCCTTCCATGCACAGTTCTTTAAGGATCATCGGCACCTGGGAATAAGGCCCTGCAAGAGACACAGGAAAGTGTTTTTGAAATTCACAATCCAGTTCCAGGTTTGCACTGGGATTTTCTTGCAGCGAGTCAACATGTGAGGCAGGAGCCTGGCTCCCATCGCATCCTGGCAATCTTTGCTGTGCAAGGTCTGTTCCTTTGCTTCATTGCATAAAATTAAGTTCCTCCTTAAAAAGAAAGCTAGTATTTTGTGCAGTTGGTGCAAATGCAACTTGTATATTATCTGCCCCAGCATATTTTGACTTAAAGATCTTCCTGCCAGTAACTAAACATAGGAGAGGAACGTCAGTCTTTTAGAGCAGAGGGGAGGAAATGACTCAACAGCTGGGAAATCAAACAGTCGGTGGCTGGAAAAGGGGGCGTGACCAAGTGGGGGTGTCCTGAGGGCAACGTTTGGTCCCTTGGCCTGAAGATCTGGACCCCTGGGACTGAAACCTTAATGAGCTATCCAGTAACTTGTCAAACCAGCATTCCTCTAGGAGCAATCCAGCTCCTTAAAATGGTTGGCAATTCCAGCACAAGGCTTCAATGTTTGTGCTGGAGCTATTTCAAAGAGACTTGACAGGGAAAATCACTAGTGCAGACTGAGGAAGATGGGAGTGTTAATCTCACACATCTGGAAAGCATGAGCTTGGGGAAGGCTTCAGTTATTAACAGATGGCAACAGAAAGTGGTCTTTAGAGCACTTCTACCCACCATAACTATCTACAAAGCAGATAATCCACTGGATAAATTAAGTCTGCAATTAAATCTCTGTGCTGAGAGATGTAATGGCAAGGCTGTGGGCCTTGGACTGGAAGAACCTGGTCTGAGTCCTTGTTCAGGCACACTCTCACAGACCTTATTTTAAAAAGGCTCAAAAGAAGGCCTTTATTTTGCTTGCTGCTCAGGTTGCCAGGTGTTCAAATAAAGATGGTCCCTAACATTTGAAAGAGTCTACAGCACTATGGGCGGACCCAGTCCAGAAGAACCTGCACATTTTTGTTTATAAAACTCTGGGGAAGCTTGAACAAGCAGGAGAAAAGGAGGGAAAGTCTGTATGCATATGCATGAGAGAAAATGAGCTGCCTTCATCCAAAGTCTCAACGGCAGCTACTTCTTTGAAGGTGCTCTTTGTTTTGCAAGGGAAGCTCCTATTAGCACCACACACTTAGGGAGATTTTGGTTGGGTCTGTGATACAGGGAGAGGAAGGAAGGAAGGAAGTTAAAACTCTTCACTTCATACATCTCCCACTTCCCAGGTGGCTGCAGTTTCCATAACGAGAAAAAAGGTGCAGGTTACTTGCATCGCAGCAATTGAACCATCTGAGCTTGCTTAAAACCGGCAGGAATGTTTACCAGATAGTAGGCTGGAGAAGAAGGTGGGGGAGGGAACCTTCCCCAGAACAAGCCAGTGAGGAAGTGAGCAATTGTATTTTCACTTAAGGCAGGATCCTCTGCATGCTTAGGCCACTGGTAGGCCGTTTTTTCTGTCTTAACATGCGGAGAGGATTGAGCACTTAATATGTTTGAAGTGTCAACAAGGCAGGCACCATCGCTGAGCAGAGACCTGGCAACTGCTGCTCTAGAATTTTCCATTCATGCAGAGATCACAGCTCCTTTCCAAGACTGCTGCTGCTGCTAAATAGATCTGCAGAACGATCATTTAGACTTCTCCCAATTTTATCTCTAGGACTTAGAACAGTCCTACGAGTTCACACAACAGGCACTCCGGGTTTTACCCTCACAACACCCCTATGGAGCTGGCCATGCTGAGACACAGTCCCTTGCCTGGCTCTACACAAACAAACTACATGGCTGGAGAGGAGTTTTTGACCTAGCTTTCCAAGCCTGACCCCCTTCCCGTGACATTATTCCATCCCAACAGACTAAGTGCCACTGCCGATTTTCGTTTCTTTAAAGCTGATCACCTCTGGGCTGTAGTAAACAAGATTAGCTACAGCTTGAAATACCATGCAAAAAGAGCCGTGAGCCAACTGGCAGGGACAGGTCCACTGACTTCACAGCACACGGGAGTGCCGAGCAACTGCAAAGAGGCAGCAGTTAACGAAGTCTTAAGTGTGTCACCAAAAATGGCCCTGAGGGAAAGAAAGGGAAACTGGCCTGAATTGCTCAGCTTTGCCTCTGCCAAGGAATTTCAAGAACCAAACCAGTTTTCAAAGAAGCAAGGATCTTCTAGCTCACTGCTGGCCTCTAGTGATGTGCAAAGGTTCTGCTTTATTCATGATAAAGGTTTGTTTCCAACAGCTGGATATAAGAAGCCTACAGTTCATTCCTGAAGGAAACACAGGCTGAAACATCTGCTTTGTGGCTCCTGCTCAGGTTGTTTCTTCACAAACAGGAATTGCTGTCATTTGCAATGGAGAAGCCAGACAACACGGTTGAATCCTTCCATTCCAGAACTTTCTGCAGTGTTTTCCCATAGCTTTCCAGACTTCATTTGTCTACCTTCCTTCCTTTTTTTTGTCATAGAATGCATTTTTCTTGCTAACATTAGCAGAGTAAGCAGACAAAGTGCTATGGAAGATTAGAAGAACAACTGTATCTTTTAATTAAAAGCTTCTTCTTGCAGCTTCTGTTTTAAGGATCTCTCTTAAGTGTGGCAGAGAGACTATTGACCTGTTTATTAATTGCCACTCATTTGCAGTTCCTCTTCCCATTGACAGGGTGATAAAATATTAATTTCCCTTTTATCTGTTCTTTGTATTTTTATTACAAAATAGGAGTGCTATTCCACTTTAAAAGAAATAAGAAAAATACTGAGAGAAAATAAGGTATTTAAGTCTCTTCCATGGGAACAGGAACTGATGTTAAGGTGCAACAAGATGCATCAAAACATTTGAGAAGAGAGGCCAGCAAGTTAGTTCACTGGGGCTGCTGCCAGCCAATTACTTCCATCCACCAGTTTGCCCATCCTTCATTGCAAATGTCAAGACCATCTTGACAAAACACAAACTAAGAGGCCCTGTCAGAGTGATGCTAAGAAATTCTGTAATACTTACTGTAAGCAACAACGCGGAGCAGCTCTTCCAAGCACCAGCTAAGTCAGCTGAGGTGGCAAAGGAGGGGAAGGGACTCAGCTGGTGCTTTTCCAGACAAAGCAAATTGAAAAATGGGCAAAGATGATGGCAGGAAGAGTGAATGGGGCACAGGAGAGGGACAAGGCCCAGGAGATTTCCACAAAACGAGGGTTCCCACTGTTGAGCTAGATGTTACAAGAGTGAAGAGAGAATTCCATACCACAGGTAGGCAGACAGCTGTGCAGGAGTGTGTGTGACGATGAGAGAGAGAGGTCGCATTTTTAAGAGCAGGTCTTTCAGTGCGGTGCCCCCACACGCGGAGTCAGACTTGCTCAATGGAAGGGCCACATATGGTAAATATCAGGTGTTTGAGAGCCGCAAGTGGGCGCCTGCAGGTAGAGACTGTGGGTGCTAGCACAAGCCACAAAACAAACTCAAAGCACCACATGTTGATCCCAAGTCTCAGTGTTGCCAGCCCTGGCCTATACCCCTATGTGGCTAAGTGACCAAAGTGTGCAATGCCTTATCCTGCTTCCCAGCAGAGGTTGACTCCCCCGTTTTTCAAAAAATATAATCGAATGCACACAGCATCACACACTGAGGCTGGAATCCTAGGCATGTTTATTTAAGACCAAAACCAAAACAGTGATACCTGTCTCAGGCTGAATATGCATAAAATCACAGTGTTAAGTCTCTGCTACAGAGACTTGAGACGTATCACCTCATATCAAGGGTATGCTGGCTCTTCTTTCATTGCTGTGGGTTACTGCTTAGGAAGAAAGACCATTCCCTAGTTGAAATTTCTTTACAGAAATGCAGCTATTTGTTAGTGATTTCAAGACTCCAAATACACACCAAAGTAACCATTTTATGTTAGAAGTTACATATGAATGCATTTACTTTTTACTTTCTCGGGCTAGATTTTGACTTGGATGCCTTAGACTAGACTAGGTGAAATGAATTGGATTAAGGTGGTCATGACTAACCTTAAGTCCCATTGATTTTGATGGGTTTACTCAAAGCATGATTAAACCTGAACACAAGCCCTGGGAATCATTTCAGCTTGAAATGAGAAACAAGTCAAGCATCACACATAAATTTTACAAATATCCATTTTCTCTTCTTCTCAATAGCTATTAAGTAACAGGCAATAAGAAAAGGAGTCCTACCTTTCTGAGTCACAGTGTCATTATACAATGAGATTGCGCCACACACTGCAATTCTCCCGTACTTCTTCATTTGTTCCAAAACAACGCTGCTAAACTCTCCTCCCACCTGTATGGACAAAGCACATACAGTCTTAGCTAGAGGGGAAAGCCACAAAGGATAACCTGAGATGGACAAATGAAGCCACATACACCCTCCACCCACATATTCATCTAATTTTCATACACTCCCCATGTGGCCATTCAGCTTGGAAAAAACCTCCATGGGAATTGCTTTTCATGCCCAAGTGCCATGGAGGGGCCAGTCTTTCTCCCCAGTAGGAAACATTCCTGCCAGAAACCTGAGAACTGCCGTTCATTGAACTAGATGGATCCATTGTTGATGTTCCTCAGAACTCCCATGGGAGACAAAAGCAGGGTTTCAAAAATTATTCCATGGAAACAATAGAAACTTTGAAAAATAGATGTATAATTATTGAGCAGGTGGGTAGGGCAGGTTGGAGAGAAGATACAGGATGGATAAGAAGGACCACTGGTTGGTGGTTTCCTAACCCAATTGGTCACCCTTGTCTCAAGAAGCAGGATGCTGGCTTTAAGGACTGATCTATGAGGCTGCCAATTAGTTCTGGCTTCTACTGCAAGCCAGACGAACCCGTTTCCTCCAGTCGGAGAAAGGCTTGCATATTTTCCAAAATGGAATGCATCCACTTCCAGAATGGGTACCTTGCTAAATTGTGTACGTTCGTATGAACTAATGTAGCACATTCCAGTTTAATTCCATCACTTTCAAAAGTTATTTCATGGCAGATTCAGGGAATGGCTTATTGTGCAGTAATGTGCACAGCTGTTCAAAATAATGATTTGGCATACATTTCCACTGGCCAGGCTTCCACAATGGTTTTAATCACTTGAAAATAAGTCAACCCCATGGTGTTTCATTTATTGGTGCTCCAGCTGTACAAATTCCTGTCCATTTCTGGGAAAACTTTTACAGATGTTTCTTAATGATCAATGTATTTTGAAAATGAATTCTTCAATCTTTAGCAGGGTAATAGTTCTCAACCACTAGGATACATCTTGGTGCTTCTTTGTAATTTTTCTTTTTCTTTTTTTTCTCTCTGCTTTCTAAACTTTACTGCTATCAAAATAAAAATGTAAAATAAAAGGGAAAAAACCCACTGGGATATATCTTGAGCTGGCTTAAGATGGGTATTTCAGTACGCTGGGGCAGCCACTGGCAAATCTATTTCTTCCTGACTAAGTGGTCCTAGAATGCTCCAGTTTCAAGTTCAGAATCACAGTCAAACTACACTTTCTTATGTGTGTGTGTAAGAAAACTGGCCTGATACGTTGCTGAGAAAGGGTATAGGGGACTCCCCTGGGATACGTATATTCAGTAGCCATTCCTACTAAAGCTGGTATGGGAAGAAATTTATGGTGACCCTTTTTCTGAGCATGCTTGAACAGAAAGAAGCATGAGGGAGTGGATCATAATTCTCCCAAGGTGAAGAGAACAATATAGGCACAGATGTAAGATGGGAGCATCTCAAGTCCTATCTGCATCTCAGCAAATGTCCTGCCCCCACCCCACTGCCCCCCAAAGCATAGTAACCAAAAGGCAGGCAAGTTATCTTGGCATGCAAGGCAGAAACCCTCACAAGTGCATCTCCCTCTTCTGGGCAATGAAAATTAATCTAATACAGTAATATAATATAATTATATTTGCTGCCCTTTCCTGACACGCAAAGCCAACTGTCTGGGACAGCTGCAACACTCTGCCTAAAAGGAGGGCCAGCCTTTTACATTACATGACATGTAATTACATGACATTACAAGTTCCATCTTAAGAGCTACATATGCAGATCTCCTCAGAGTAAAGTAGATCCTTGTTCTAGCAAGCAGATTTTAAGATACACAAGGGGAGAGAAGTATTTGTAAAGAAAGTAGTGTATGTGGTGTGTGGGGGGGGGGAGAGTGGAGGGTCATGAGTTTGCTCAAGGTTAGTTATTACTTGTGGCAGGGGTCCTCTGAAGAATGCAGCTTCTCATCTGGAGAGAAGGATGCTCTGATGTTTGGCTAACCTTTGGAGCCAGGCTCACTGGTAGCAGAAGTAAGCAAGCAAACCTGAGTTGGAAAAGACAGGTCCAGATTCCATTCTTTTTCTAAGGGGCACAAGGCAACGGATCGACCATCACCCATTCCTGGATTTGCTCCAGAAGGAGTTTTACCCATCAATGAAGCACAGGCTGTTTTTTTATGCTGATAAGGCTAAGATTTAAACTTGGAAACATCTTGCCCAGCCGTAAGAGAGGAATGAGCTTCTCTTTGCAGGTTTTTGAAAATAATGTGAAGGCTTCCTCCCACCTGTCCTTGAACTCTTTTTAGTTCTGCCAGAAATAGAAAGCTGGCCCGTTTTAATTTTTAAAAATCAAAACCCTCAGGAGCCTCATCTTTAAAAGTGCAAAGAGCACTGAAAGGTCTTCATATCCAGTTTATGGGAGGCAAAAAATTCCACCCATTCCCTACCTCAGCGTAATGCCAAAACAAACAAACAAACAAACCACACACACAAAACAAAAAAACAAGCAACTCATGGTGTCCATAACCCACACCTGGTCTGTAGATGCTGCAACTAATGGTCACAAAGAGAACTGTTAACCTAGAGAGAGTAGACCCAAGATGATCTGCTGCCAGATTTACTCTAGGGATGAGAGCTGGGAATTGAGGCAGGGCTCGGAGTCGGGTCAAAGAGATGATGGGAACCCCCCTGCAAGCTGACTTTGGTCTAATGCAGGTTGCACCAGAACATGATTTTCCCTTCCCATGAAAAAGTCTTCCCCTGTGGTCAGGCAAATAGGATCCTGGGCACCTGCTTGGAGCCCACACCATGTTAGGGGCCCACTGACAAGAGCATCCCCATCTCTTCAACCTTGCAATCTGCTTGTTCAGTAACCTCTTGCTTAGGCCCAGAGCATATGAGCAAACAAGCCCACTACCAGCAGAGCTATGTCACCCCAGTGTTTATCTTCTCTCTAACTGATTGGTCTGTTTCTCCTTGTCTTTCCTTTGAACTATACATTAGTCAGGTGATTTCCCCCTTGTTCAATTACTGTAGGACCTGTGTATCTTGATAGAAGGTGCTTCAAAAAATATATAGTTAACTACATACTTAAATACCTTTTTAAAAATGCAGATGAATGTGGCAGCAAAGGTTACACATAGAAGTAGACTGAGGATGCAATCCTTTGACCTCCCAACACTGGGGGCAGGGCATAGGATAGGGTGAAAACCCAGCTCTGACCTCAGAAAAGAACTCTGAGGGTGGAGCTGCAGCTCAAAGGATCCTCCCTCTACTCCTGGGACCAGCACAGCTCTTTCCATCCCGCTGGGCTCCAAAGACAGAAGACCGTCTTCAGAACCAAGGCAGGGAGGGGAAGACAAAGGGTGAGGCATGCTGTCCTCTGAAGATGCCTCAGCCTCTTCTCCTCATGAGGAGGGGAAAAACATTGACTGGCTACATGCTTTGGAGGACACTGGGAGTGTGAAAGCAATTCTAGAATTGGACTTACTCCCCCTCCCATTGGATCCCCACAATCCTCCAAGTTCAGAAACTTATGGGAATCCACACTGGATAGTGCCTTGAATTGACCATCCCTAGTTGTAACCAGTAAATGGGTGGGGCTGAGGATTATTCCATAGAAAGATGGGTGGCGTCAGGGTCATATGTCCTTCCTTTCACTTAATCCTTTAACCAACAACTGAATTGTTGATTGTCCTGGAAACCAACAGCTGTCTTGTTGACTGAGACATATCTACACACTGAGGTCTGATTTTATGAAAAGAACCAGAATATCCTGTTCAGACTAGATTAGAAGCTCAGGATAACTAACTAGGTATATTAATTCTCAGCTTAAGGATGGCAGATAATAAGAGTTTTCCTCAGCTTCAAAAGTAATTTAATTTGCCCCTAACCACAGCATGGGGATATGTTAAACTAGCATTTCCCAGTCTTAAAATGCACCTGATAGTCTTGAAGCCAGTTTATCTCTTTAACTCTTTTCGCTCACTCAACAGAATTCCACAGCCAGCTAGGGCAACTTCTAATCTTAATCTAAATGCTTAATTGAAATGCTGTGTATAAGGAATTTTATGGCCTCTTTAGCAAAAAGTGGTTTGGGGCTGATGAAATGGCAGTTCTGCACTGTACTTTGATTGATACTGTCCTAAAGCACCCCAGTCTCTCACTCACTTCCTCAGCTGAGGATTAGACTCGAGGCACACAGAAGAGGTGAGAAGCTATCTATGCAGACCTTACACACAGTTAGCATTGGTCTCAGGATTTCTGACAAGAAGTAGAAGAATGCTGCATGAATCTTGTCTCTTATCTCCGTATATTCTTTCAAATCCCAGCTCAAAACCCACTTTTTCTAGATTTTGGCACAACTCCCTAATTCACATGGCCTATTATAACTAAGCTGAACAATGTGTAATGGAAGCAATCACTACTTCTGCTTCCGCTCCCTCCTTCCCACATATCAAACTTGAGATTGTGAGCTCCTCAAGGCAGAGAGCATCCAGCACACTGATGGAGTTATAGTGATAATACTAAGTAATGATTTGCCTTTGGGTGGGCATTGGATGGGAACGACTGGAAAAATGGTGAGTACATTCAAGAGGTAGGCTAGGAAATTTTCCTAGTATTTCAAAGCCAGGATAATTTCTTGAGGCCATGCCAAGGCCATATGGCCTTCAGTTTGTAAGGGAGAGCACCAGAGATAATTGTCTTGAGGTTGTCTTCGCCAGTCATTCTGTAGATAAGGGCTGCTTTTGTTGTGAAAACGAAACTGTTTGCCTTAGTGAAGCAGCTTTGCCCCCATCTGTCTACCCGGAAAGGAAGTTAGAGTCTGTGTATACCCGTCAGGAAAAAGAAGTTTTTTTGGAATCCATGGCAAGAGGTGCTCTCTTTTGCTCTTGGCCTGCAGAAACGAACTGGTGCATCATGGGCCAAGAGACATGAATTTAGTGTTGCAACTCTCATGACTCCCCTCATAGTGAATAGTGGCAATGAGAGAATGGAGCTTAGTGTGAAAAAGAAACAGTCTGACAGGGAAATGAATCTCTTGCGAATCTGGTCTTGGAGAAATCTGACAGTCTATTTCAATGTCAACACCTCAGCTCCTCACTGTTCCTCTTTATGCTTCTATTTTCTTTTTACCTGGTGGTACTTCAACCACTTTTTCTTTGTTTCTTTCGTAGTTGCTGCAATTTGTCCTTTGTTATCCTTTCACCACACTCTGCCTTTGATTGATTCATTAGGGAATTGCTAGCACTTCTTCTTTGTTTGTGTGCGCATTTTTTCTCTGGGTGTGGTTCTCCCTGCCCTGTATAATGAAACTTTCCAACTAAAATTGTTTCACTATAATTGGTTTTTCGTGGTCTAGGATCTCTCAAGGAGAGCAGAGGAGAAGTCAGGCCTTGTCACCACCTGTTGCAAGATTAATTTGCTACGCCAATACAGATATTCAAATTGTTCCGGCATTTCCTCTTGTAGTGACAGGTCGGCTCTCTGATTCCGCACATATACATGCACGCACACACTCAAACTGATGACTTTCCAGTCCGTCTGATCTCAAGGAATTTAATTAGGGCTCTCAAAGGTTGCCTGAGCACCTGCCCTGCACTCACAGGTGCAGAAGTGGTGCCCATTAGTCTGTTTCTGCTGTATCCCATCGGGGCAACCGCAGGCCTTGGCTCTCCCAAGGCATCACACCAACAAAGCATCACAGCTGACCTTTACACAGCAAATCTGTGTACAACCAAGGCAACATGAGAGCTGCTGTCAACAGCGAGGGCCCCTCTGGCCATGTTTACAGCATGGTCAAGCTTTGCTTTATACCTCACGGCCGGCACAAGGGTTGAGCGCAGGCTGAACTTACATTATCGAAGTAGCAGTCATAGCCATCAGGGGATGCTTTTTTCAGTGCTTCTTCCAGAGACTCCACCGTCTTATAGTTAAAGGCTTCATCAAAGCCAAGTGCTTTCAGGTAGGCAACTTTCTCATTGGAACCCGCACAGCCAACCACCTTGCACCCCTGCAGGGTAAAGGCACAGCCCGGTGAGGGAAAGTAATACAGATACACTCTTATGGCTTATGTCATTTCAATAAGAGGCATTTTCACAAAATTGAAAAATGGTATTGCTTGCCAGCAGGAACCTATGAGGTAGGATGGGCTGAGAGTCAACGAGTGGCCCAGAGAGCTTCATGGCTGAGTGGGGAGTAGGACCCAGATCTCCTGAGTCCCAATCCAATCTAACCACTCTGCCACACCGGCCAACTGAGCATCACAATCATAGTGGGAACATCCTGCTTATGTTTTTTACACCCATGTATGTGCATCCACATGTGCGTAACCTGCCAAACTGAGAATCCATCATACTTCCAAGTCCACAAAAGCTTATGCTGCTGGAGACAGACTGACTTTGTCTCTGAAGGAGAAAGAGGATACATACTTCTATCAAACTTGGAACTCTTTTTATTATTGGCTAGAGAAACGGGACTATGCATAGATTTGAAAATGTTTACGGATTGCTATAAAAAAATAGGGGGCTGACGCAGTAGGTCTGATGCTTCTGATGATTGATGTTTTTTAGTTTCTTTTTTTTAGTTTGTAGAAAAATAATAATAAAATTTACTTTAAAAAAAGCTTATGCTGCTTGGCTGCAGCAGAACCAAATAAGATGCGCCACAGACTAACACAATGGAATGGAAATAACCAGTGCCAGTCAAGCAAAACAAAGACCTGGAAACACTGCCTTATGAGGAGAGACTGGAAGAACTGGGCATGTTCGGCCTTGGGAAGAGAAGACTGAGGGGGACAGGATATCACTCTGTAAGTACCTCAGAGGCAGTCACAAAGTGGAAGGTCAAGATCTCTTCCCACTGATAACAGAATGTAGGACAAAGAATAATCCATTCAAGTTACGACAACCCAGATTCAGGGCAGATATCAGGAAAAGCTTCCTCACTGTCAGTGCATACGATAGTGGAACCAGCTGCTGAGGGAGGCGGTGGGCTCCCCCACACTAGAGGCATTCAAAAAGAAACTGGACAGCCATCTGAGTGGGATGGTGTAACCTGGTGCCCTGCACCAGCAGAGGAATGGACCCAATGGCCTTCTTGGCCCCTTTCAACCCTATTATTCTACCATTCTATGAAAATGTTGCAATTATGCAGATTCTGGTCTACAAAATCAGCAGTCTATCAACATATTGTTCCAGTTGGGGTCTCTCCACAAGTTCTACCCTCCCACCCTTTACCACAGGCAGCCCGTGTCCTGATGTGCTTATGCCCAAAATACACAACAGGGGAAGCCTTTGTTTCAAACATTTAGTCTTGAGAATAACTGGGTGCCCACACATCGTTCCAGATGGCGTGCCTGAACAGTCCTCAGTTGGCCCTTTTATACATTGGCCATTAAAGGGTTACATGTAGCACAGTTAAAACTTTCTAATAAGTTACAAAAGTAAAAAAGCTAGATTGGCATGATCTTTCTTGCTTGCATACCAAAGCAGAAAGATGTTCCGAAGAAGGGAAGGAGAGTGGGGCGTTACTCCAGGGAAGAGGAGTAGGATTGGCGTGAACTATGCTTTGTTTGAGTTGCTGTGATTTGTCAAGTACTAACTAGCTTTCTCTGGAATGGCGCCTGGTTAGTGTCAGCTACATTTCAAACATGCACACACAGTGATTTCTAGAGAAAAAGATTCACTTCCTGGTCCAGCTAAATGTTAATGTTTGCATAATTATACCTGTGTAAGTTACACCTATTGATTTGCGCATCATTAGGACCACTTACCAAGAGTTTTGCGATCTGCCCTGCCACACTCCCCACTGCACCAGCTGCTGCATTAATCAGGATGGTCTCGCCTGGTTTCGGCCTGCAGATCTCAGACAGGCCAAAGTAGGCTGTAAGTCTGTGGGGAAAGGGAAGAAAAGGGTTTTGGTCATCCAGAAAGCCCAGATAGGATGAGGGCAGTCAGGTCCCCTAAGCTCCTAGATGTTTAAGAGCACACAGAAGAGGGAATTTCAGCATGAGGTTTTCTTCCCTTTGTACATGTAGCTTGCACCAAAAGTTCTGCCGTTTCAAGCATTTTTTAAATTGGGTGAGGTGCGATAGTGCATTGAAGTTGTGTATTTCTCCTCTCCAAGAGCAGAGTGAACCTCTTCCCTTCAGGGTTTTTTTTCCTGGAAGCCTGTTTTTCCTGCCAGAGCAACGAACCCCAAAGAGATATTTGCTTCCTTGCAATAGAATTTGGAACCATCCAAACTTGTACCATACTGAACAATTCTGTAGCTTCCAAGAAGCAGGAAACAGTCTCATTTGAATGATGAAAAGGCCAAACCTTAGACCCTGAAGTTGACTCTGCAGCAGCCTCCCACAACCTGATGCCTGTCTGATGTGCTGGACTACACCTCTCATCAACCCTGGCTAGTAAACTTTACCATGTAGGACCTGCAGTCCAACACCTCTGCAGGGTACCTGGCTGAGCAAAGCTATGCTGGAAGGTGAGGCTGAGATGGGTATTTGCCCTTAGGGTAGCAAAGAGTTCATTTTCCCCAAGGAAGCCACCATTCTCCATTCATTCAAGTGAAGTACCCTGAATGTCAGAATTGAGGGAGGGAGGGAGGGATCCGAGTTGCTCTAATGCTGGTCTGATGTACTCCTTCCTCACACTCGAACAACACATGCTTTGAGGCCTGGGTGCAGAAGAAGCATTTCCAGAATTTAGGGGCAAGCCCAAACATTCTAGCACACCTGGTAGCCAGTATCATTTGGGGGGGAATTAAAACTGTTGGCAGCCAGGAGCTGGGAGAAGTGCTAGGGAGCCCTCTTCTGAAAACTTGCCCCACCCTCCAAAGTGTGAAATGGAAGTGGTTTTGTCCCACCTTTCGCTGAATTCTCCCACATTTATCCAGCAGATCTTTTTTCTGACAGTATGGGTGGCTCATCTTAAGGTCCCATCACCCAGGGGCCAGCACTGGATTTTGTCGGTGACCTGCCCTTTATTTATTTATTAGATTTATATCCCACTGTTTCCTTATAAACTCAAAGCAGATTACACCAGTCTCCTTTTCCCACTCTCAGTCTTATCCCCACAACAACAACCCTGTGATACCTCAGGCCCAAAGTCACCCAGCTGGCTCCATGGCTTGGGTGTCACAGGGCAGAGTCCAAAATCAACAGGAGGCTACACAAAGTCTTCAAAGCACACTCACCCAGGCATGCCAATTGCTCCGAGAGCCAGAGATCGGGAGAGGTTTCCTGGCCAGTCAGGAGACATTAGGGAAAGATTTTTGCCATCGGAAATGGCATGAGTTGTCCAGCCGGAATTAGATAACACAAATGACCCTACTGGATACTTTGGTTCCTTGCTTTCCAGAACCCTGTAAGAAGTTAAAAAAGCAGGAATGAACTGTTACACACCCCAGCAGGGATGCTCAGTGTACTGCCAAGTAAAAGCTGCACGTTCTTTTAATCCTTGATCAATCCCGAGCTGCCCTTGGGATTTCTGCACCAAATTGCTGATCTTCTATGGGACCACTCTTAAAGATGGAACCAGGTACTCAGATTATATTTGATCAGGGCAGCTGGTTGTAACTCAGTAATGTGGCACCCACTTGGCTTGCACAAGGTCCTGGGTTCAACCCATGACATATCTAAATAGGACAGGAAAAGGCGCTTCTCAATCACCAGAGAGTCAGGACTACAACTCTCAAGAGAACAGTCCCAGGCAATGTGCCTAATGATCAGGAGTTATGGGAACTGCAGTCCTACAATATCTGGAGAGCCAACGTGCCTATCCCTGCTGCAGAGAAAAATTACTATCAACCCTTTGGAAGACACCCAGCAGTCTCCTATTTCCTGCCTGCATTTGCTCTACTGCAGCTGAAGGTCATGGGTGAACAGCCTGCAACCTTCCAAACGTTATTCGATACCAGTTCCCAGAATGCAGGAGCACTGGCCAAACCGGCAGGAGCTGATGGTGCCTACTCCTGGCTGCAGCACAGGGACACGAATGCTACTAGCTAAGTGTGCACTGAAAAGTTTGCAATAAAATTGCTTGCAACACACAGGAATTTGGATGCAACTTTCCTTAACAGAGCAGGGCACTGCAGCCAGTCACTGCAGTGTCACAGTACTTGCTGTGGAGAGCCCCTGCTCCAGCACCTGTTGGTCCACATCCAAGGCCACGCAGACCAGCTGAACCTGCCCACCACCAGGGCTATAAATGTACACCGAGTGGTCATTGACAGTTCTTTTCACCGTCGTGATGGTCACGTGGTTGCTTTATTTAAAACACAGTAGACACCTTGTGAAATACTACACAGAGGTGGCAAAGACACTGGAGCAGAGGTGGGTCCTGACAACCCGGAGGGTTCTCCATCAGCAACCCTTTCTCTGAGTGAGTTTCCTGCCTCAGGCACCAGATGTGTCAGCAGGGAGGTTGGAGAGAAAAGGGGAAGAGGGACTTGAACAACCTTGTGGACATTCATCAAGCACTGCTTCCCCTCTGTGTCAAAATTTCAGCGGTAGGATCGAGGCCACCTGCAGGAAAAAGCCATCCTTCGCGACAGAGCCGTGCCGAAGCCACAGCTGTGAGTTCTGCTGCCCACGGCTCCCCTCAGTTTAGTCATAACCCATGTGGGCCAGATGTGGCTGACTGGCAGCAAGCATCATGCTCCAAAGAGGCCCTCATTATGCAGTGCAGTAGCCACAGAAAGCTGTTACTGCAGAGAGTCGCTGCTGCAAGCGAGAAGGAGCGGCTGTGTCCGACCACAGAGATTCCTGCCTTAGGAAGGCAAGCAGTGCAGTGACTCCAGGAAGACCCTGAGTAACGGCTCAGGGCATGCTGAAATCAGTTCACGCACTGGGGAAATCAAGAGGGGGGTGTCCAAAGGCAAGTGCGTGTGTGTTTATGCCATGAACACTGGTGAGCAACAGCAGGCACTGTGCGCTCTCGTGTCTTGGCAGTTTTGTTCTAGGCATGCACCTTTCTCTCCAGTACTCTTCTAATGCACTGATTACTTAATGATCAGCCATTATTTGGTTCAGACAAATGAACCAAGCTCTCATTTGCAGAGAAAGAAAGGAGGATAGGCAGTTTGGGAGAGCACGAAATGAGCCGCGGAAATCTTACTTTGCAACCTGTGTGCCAATCATGGTACCCCCTTCCTGCATGTGGATTCTACTGTATGGTCTGCAAAAGAAGAAGAAGAAAGACAGACTAAGACAGTCTTTTGAAAAAATGGCAACAATTTCTTTGGGGTAAGATCCTGGCAATGTTAATTGAAAGCAGCTCCAGCTTAATTATTATTACTGTTACATTGCCTTTATAGCCCACTTTTTGTGTCTTGTGAGGAAACAAAGGTGGCTTATTTAGCTCCATGTTATCCTCACAACAACAACAACCCTGCAAGGTAGGTAAGGCTGGCCCAAGGTTGCCCAGTGAGCTTTATGGACAAGTGGGGACTAGAACCCGGATCTCCCAGGTACAACATTCCAACCAGCACACCTCACTGGCTCTCCAGTGAAGTCAGTGGGACTTCAGTTAACCCATTTGCCCTGCTGTTAAAATAAATTTGTCTGGATCCAACCCAACATTACTTTTCCCTGGAACCAAACTTAGAATGAGCCCTTCACTATGCCTTCCTGAAGCTGTAAACTTTGGCAACCATGAACACTTTAGTTTGTGTATCAGGTTATACTGGCAACTTTTGCCATGGCATAGGGCTCAGGATTGCCGGATGGCCAGAAAAAGTGTGCCCTGCTCTTGGAGTACCCCAGAAGCCTGCAGTACAAAACCCACAGAAGATTAAGTTAAGATTTAATCAGGAACTCTTGGCAAAAGGCACAGAGTCCATCTGAGCTTTGTGTTCAGCAGTTTACTTCAAAGGAGGCATGAACTCTGAATTAGGAGGATGGAGGGAAATACCTCATATAAGGGTCAACACTGAGGAACACGGCTTCGAGCAGCACCTCTGGGATAGAAACGGAAATTAGTTAAAGATGAAGCAAGGCAGTGGCCTGGTCCATGCAGAACGCCAATCCAAGGTTTCTTGCTCTATCCAGAGTTGGACTGGCAAATGAATAAGCAAACAGTGGTTTGTTTTCTTAGTCCTTGGGTTGTTTATTGCCTGCTCCTGGCCTGCTCACTCCCTTTCTCCCAACAGTTTTTGCAGGGCTGCAGGTGAAGGGCCTGGTTGTTGTGAATCCTCTGGCCCACTGCCTCTGTAGCCCGACATAACAATCTATGAGCAATGCGGTTTCTGAGTTTGCTGGAGCACTGCATTCACAGAGCTAATGCACCCACAGATTTTGAATGGGGGAAGCATGTCCTGCAGAGCCGTGTTCACCAGCAAATATGAAGTCCTTCCACATCAGTTTAACCGACTGTGCAGCAGAAGGAAGTGCCTCTACTCCACTTCCTCCTCTAAAGGGACAACTCTACTCATGTCTGGGAAGAAAAAATTCCTGCAGCTCTCTGCAATCCTGACTTCAGGGTGTGGTAGGCTATCTTTCTGTCTAAACACACACAGGATTGTTCCTTAATCCATTTTCTAAAAATCCACTCAAAAGATGAAAATGCCTTTTTGGTTTTGAAGAGTTTGATGTCCCACAATGGCTCTGTGGTGCAACTAAGTGAAGACTGGAAACACCAAAGTAAAATATCTCCCGTCAGACTAACATCTGAGGAAAGGGAAGGCAGAGCCAGGTGACATGTTAGGTGCCATGACACTGAAGTATCCCACAGGGGGAAAGCAGGTCAGACACGGGAAAAAAACCCCAGGGATTGAGACAACAAAGGGGATGATGCAAGTGATGCTGAAATATGACATAATCCAACTGCAGAGAAGATTAGTCGGAAGACTGCAAGGGTAGAACTATAAGCAAACTCTTCTTTAGGTGGGTACTTTGGTCTCAGAGAAGACTTTCATTATTTAACCTTAAAAAAAAATCTTTTTTGCAATTAACATTTGGGGATTTGGGGATTGCAGACATCCCAAATACAAAATTGTCTCAATGGAAAGAAAAGGCACGTATTCCCAAATTGCATCATGTAGAAATGTTCAAAATTTCCTTGAGAAGAGAAAGAGGAGAAAGTTGGCTAAGTAAGGCTATACTAGTGTAGGGTCAAGAACAAGAGTGAAAGGCAATTCTGGACACAAAAGATAATTTGACCCATGATAATGTTGGCATTTTCTCTGCTGAATGCATTCAGGTGTGCCATTGCACCTGGAATCTATATAACACACAGCAACAGGGGAGTTGCTCATTAACAGCAGTTATCTTTTCTAGACAAATGCACCACTTCAAGTTTGCAGAATGCAGAACAAACCAACCTTGTGTCAACTATAAGCATAATGATCCCATCACATCCTAGAGGAGTTTTGCCTTCAATCTAGACTATGTGTAGATCTTGCAGTCCAACCATAATTTTAATGTCACTTTGGGTTTTTTTAAAAAATATTTTTATTCATTTATTTTTACATTGTACCATTCACTGCTCCAAAACCTGTTCCAATGTGGACCAGTCTATGTTAATAAATGTTAATTTATTATTATTAACATTAATTAATGTTAATGTTAATAAATTAGTAAATATATAAATATGGTTCAGGAAGCAGTACAGGTGTCAACAAGAAGGGTCCAATGTAGGCCTCACCTTTGGGTCAAAGCCAGGCCAACAGGCCCTCTTGCTTTCATCTAGGCCTGCCATGAAGTGTTGCTGCATTTACAATTCATAGCATTTCTCCCACACCTACATGGCATATTCTTTTAAGTCATCTACCCTGCTGAAATACTGCTTTCCAGTTCTTGGTCCAAAAGTATTTGAACGGATCCATAATCCCTCTACTCAGCAGTTCCTCAGAATCAAGTCCTGTCTAAAATTAGGTAGGTATTTCTTTCTAGAAAGTATACTCCTTCAGTAGCTGACATTTATTACTGTGGATCATGTTCTGTTGTACTGCACTTTCTATTGTGCCTTCGGACATATGGGCAGTTATGGACACCCAAATTACAAACTACCCATACTTATGAACGAGCTGCCATAATCTCTACTAATTAAAAAAAATTACTGCAGAAAATCATCATTTCCAGAGGGAGAGAGGAAGCAAAAGGGGAGGGAAGGAGGGCCTCAATAGCATCTCCATAGAGAAGGAGGAAGGGGAGAGAGGGAGGGCCTCCAAAGCATGCCTTCCTGCCCTGCCCATCCAGAGAGAGAAATCTCTCCAAAATGTCCTTGCTACAAAGAAGAGACACTGGTGAATTTGGGTGCAGGAAGGGGGGTTAGGTATATTAGCAGTTTTTCCACTTTTACAGGGTCCTGCGCCCTTAATCCCCACAAGAGTGGAGGACCAACAACTTGCGCACAAATTCAACTTAAAGCCAAATTTCCATTTTCTAAGGGGTGGAATTTGTTCATATCCCCAGGACTGCCTGGATTTCCATTATTCCTTTTTTGCAAGGAATACCAAGGAAATCGTTTGGTTAACCAGGACCCTCTAAGGCAGATAGATTTTCTGATGGATGTTCTAAACCATTACTTTTTATATTATCTTCTTAAAAATGTTTTTTTAGCTGTACTTCCAATTAGTTATCATGACCTATATATTATTGCATTGATAGAGCTGTTTTATGAACGCTCGTGAACACTACCTTACTGTTATTCACAGTGCTATTTCATCTCATTGGTCTTACAACTGTGGCAAAAATAAAGATTTAATACAAAGGCAAAAATCAAGAGAATTCAACTTACCTCCATCCTTCAGTGCTGGCAGTTCTGTCTCTTTGAGTTCAAAATTGCTCTGCTTGGGAAACCCCTCAAAGTGCTTCTTCAGGATCCAAGACTTGGCACGTACCATCTTAAACTGACTGAGTGATTAAATAGCACCATTTTATTTATTTATAGTATTTCTTGGCCACCTTTCAGAGCAAGAGCCCTTCCAAGGCAGTATTCAATAATAAAACACATAACAAAAACAATGTAGTATTAAAAGCATTGAAAACCATAATAAAACAGAAACAATGGCAAACATATCAGAGGAAGGTCAGTGTAAAAGAACTTTGTAGGGCATTCCGAAAAGCCTGCAATGTTGGGATTTGGGACTCTCAATGGCAACTTATTCTAGAGGTATGGGGGCGATTGCAGAAAACGCCCTCTCTTGTATGGTCACCCACCTGATTTCACAAGTGGGAACGTGAAAAGACCCTTTCTTGTTGATCTTACATGGTGGGCAGGCTGATATGAGGGAAGGTGGTCCTTCAAATAATTTCATCCCAAATTATTTAAAGCTTTAAAGGTCACAACCAACAGTATATATTGGTCTTGGAAACACACCAGCAGCCAGCGCAGCCAGCACAATAGATGGCATTCTATGATCAAAGCAGGATTTATTTTTAAGCACTGTGCTGAGTTGCAGAAAAATCTGGTGTTGCCTCATTTCACGAGCACCTCCCAAAATGTTGCTAATGGAAAATCACAAAGAAACCAGAAAGTTTACACTCTCAAGCCCTAGAAACTCAGCTTTCACTCACTAAAAAAAAAAAAAAACCAACTGCACAAAATATGCTCAGAATAAACACTGCGTAAATCTCAGGGTGCTGAATGGGGCTTCCTCCCATGTAAAATTCTGCATCACTTCTCGACATCACGTTTAGAAAGATAAGGCAGGGCTTGGCTTGTTTCAACAAAAAGGTCAGGTCCACAAAGAGTCAGCAGTTTCAGATGCAACTTATACCTACCCTTCCTTAGTCACACAGCAGTTGCATTGCTAATTTAAGAGTCCCAAATCCACGCCCGTAGCAGTGCCGGCCTTACAGCACCACGTGCAGGCTTCAAGTGCCCTCCTGTCCTGTATTCATTCATGAATTGGACATTATATTTTATAAGTTTAACTTGCCGTATTTCAGTGGCACGGATTGTAACATATGGAATGGACTCCGTTCTTAAAGCAATCTGCCATTGTTTGTCAGGTCACTAATTAAAGAGAGGATTTTTTAAACAATTGAGGAATAATGGGGAGGGGGAAGTGCACCCATTTGCCCCATTCTGGGTACGGGGCTGAGGTGGATGAAAGGCAGATTATTATGGGACGAACCCTTATGCTGCCTACACTGTAGGAGGAAGGTTAAAGAGCTTTTTTGCCTGCTGCTACACTGTCTACTACAGCTGTTCACAGTGCGGGCAGAGCATGTTTAGACCAAGCAAACTCCATCATGCTTGGTTCACCAGCTACATAGTCACCATTCAAGAAAATGCACTCATGTTCTCAAAGTGGAAAGCCAACGATTGCTTTGCCATTGAAGACTGGAAGAACAAGTTAGCCAATTATGCATCAATAGTCAAGCTAACAAGTTATGTCAACAGAAGAGCAGTTAAAGAATTTACTCCAAGATGGAAGATTTATTTCGAACAATTTAAATAATGGTCAATGAAAATATAATTTATGCAAACATCTGTGCTTATCATCAGTACCAAAGCAATGTTGAGATACATAACTGTAAGTGTATGATTTTGAATTGAATGGGTGGGACAGGAACATGGTTGATAGAAACCTTTGACTATTGTAAATGTACTTAGATGATGAGTTGCTTGTTAAATCCTTAGGAAGACCCTTGGCTCCCCTCCCCCCGCCACCCTTTTCCTCATTTTCTTCTTATATACTCCTTTTTCCCCCTCTATTGTATTTCCTGAAAACAAATAAAAAGACTTTAAAAAAAGAAAGTTCACTCATGCTAAGCAGTGAATTCCACTAAACTCAGTAGGGGTTCCAACTGAATAATCCCATATAGAATTGGACCACAGTGGGGTATGGCAGGACAAGAAGTGATCCTCAAAATAATAATAATAATAATAATAATAATAATAATAATAATAATAATAATAATAATAATCCTCTATTTATAAGCAGGTTTGCATGTCCTTGTCAACTCTTACAACTCCTTTTTGGATGTTGTGATTGTTCAAGCCAGGAATGTGGTATTCCCAGCCTCTTCTGCCACAGAGGTAGCACAAATGCATCCAACTTCAAACCAAGAAACTGCATCAAAGGTGTGGGAGAATTTCTGTGGGCAGTTTCTGTGCTGTTAGACCTTCAGCCCCTGCTCAGTGAAGAAATACTCCTGGTGAATTATTAACTGCCAGAGAGGGGTATATCAAATGGTCAATACTGTGCCTTCTGGCACAAGGTGAGCATGGATGGCCTCTACCAATGCTTCAAGGATGAACATGTTCTCGGGCTTCCCCTGGCCAGAAAGGCCCACAGCTGGCCTAAATGGGCTTTTGGCCTGATCAGGCATACTGTTGTGCAGGTCACCTGGAACATGCTGATAAAAATAGAAGAGCCACGGTGCCAGACCAAAGGCCTGGCTAATTCTGCACTCTGTTCACACAGCGGCTAACCCCTGTGCAAAGCCCACAAGCAGACCACATGTACAACAGTATCCTCCCATCAAGCCTGTACCCAGGAGTGGGATGAGGGGCCTGTTCCCCTCCAAACATTTTTTTCTTACAGACAAGTAATTCTAGAAGTTTCCAATTCTGTCTTTAAAAGATCTACAAACCAGATGTACTGCCCAATCCTATTAGTTTGGTGCCCCCTATTGAATGTTTAGGCTGATTACGGCTCTCTTTATTTATTTTATTTATATTGTGATTTATATCCTGCCTTTTTCCTACAAAGGACTCAGGGCAGCTTACATCATTCTCCTCCTCCATCTTATCCCCACAACAACAACCCTGTGAGGTAGGTTGGGCTGAGAGTCTGTGACTGGCCCAAAGTCACCCAGTTGGCTCCATGGCTGAGCAGGGACTAGAACCCGGATCGTCTGAGTCCCAGTCCCTTGCTCTTAACCACTGCCACTTACATTGCTCAGCAACTGCCTCAGATACAAGAGACATGGATAGCGTTATTGTCCATTTATTTGTCTAGTCCTCTTTTTTGATGTTTCATGCTGTCAAGTTGTCCCCGACTTATGGCAACCCTGTGTATGAATGTCATGTCCTTCACAGCTCTGGAAACTCAGGGTTTTGGCCTCCTTTATGAAATTGATCTATCTCATAGTTGGTTTCCTCTTCTTCTGCCTTTGACTTTCTCCAGCATGATTGTCTTCTCCAATCAGTCTTGCCTTCTCATAAAGTGCCCAAAGTATGACAGATTCAGTTTTTTTTAAATTTTTGCTTCCAGGGCCATAGTCCTGGTTTGATTTGATCCAGGACCAACTTCTTTGCCTATCAGTCAAGAGTATTTACAAATTCTCCTCCAGTACCATATTTTGATTGCATCCATTTTTTTCTTGCCCATTTTCTTCACGGTCCAGTTTTCACACCCATACATAGTGATTGGGAATATAATAGTGTGGATGATCTTGGGGCCTTGATCTCCAGGGAAACATCCTGGAGATCACTTGATCATACCTTCTGCTTCCCTCACTGCTGCCCTTCCAAGTCTCCATCTTCTAATTTTTTTTTGGCTGAACTCTCTGCTTAAATTAATGACTGCGCAGGGTATACAAATTCTTTCACAATTTCAGTTTCTCCACTGAGGAAATCCCCTTTTACAGTCATTCAAAATTATAGACATCACTACATCTAGTAGTGAATTTTATAGTTGAAATATGCACTATGTGAAGTACTTCTTTCCTTTGTCTGGAATCTCGTCCTAATCAAGTTCATGGGAAGACCCCAGATTCTAGCATTATGAGAGAGGGAGAAAATGCACATTTTTCACACCTCTTACCTATGTGTTGCACACCTTTCATGTGTCCCCTCACTCATCATTTTTTAAGCTAAACAATCCCATATGTTGTAATCTTTCCTTGCAGGAGAATTGCTCCAGCCTATTGTTAATTTTAGTTGTCTTTTCCTCCAACTTTTCCTAGCTCTGCTGCATTCCTTTTCTATCTGAATTGAACTAAATCGTACACAATAGTCTAAGTGTGCTTGCTTCCTAGAGGGAGCTCATCCTTTAGTGCTCTCTGTCAAGAGAAAAGGTGATTAACTATGTGCTATAGACTCAAAGCAATCAGGGGAGCTTTGTTATGTGGATGCAATTGGCAATGCTTTCTCATGGTATTTTTGCCTTGCCACTATTTCCATGTTTACAAACAGAGATCACCACAGTTCTGAGTACAAGATTTCATCTGGAAATCTGAGAAATTAACTACACAGTTCACTACAGCTCAGAAGCTTTCAAGACAGCTTTGACTATTGGGTGGTACAGCAATATAGTAGAGAATGAAAGACACGCCACTGTGTTCATCAAGGGTTCCTACCAATCAAGTAGGTCAAGACTGCAGCCTGATTTATTTACAGTATCAGGTAGCTCTGCTCGTCATTGTATCTGCCACATTTCACACTTTATTAGAACAAGTCAGAAGCATTGCAAAATACCACTTTTCTGACCAAATAAACTATTTGACCAACCTTGTAGATGTTATCTGACTTTATTTAAAAAAATAACAGAAATATAGACAAACCAAAATGAACAAAACAATTAACTTCACTATCACATTTCTAGTAGGATTTTTTGGTCAGCCAACCCAAAACTGATGGTAAAGGTAATTGTTTGTTCTTCCTTCCTATTGGCCCATTCCAGATTTTTTTAAAATTGCTTGCTTTTTAAAAGACTAATAACAGCTATGGGGCCAGAAAAATCATAGATGTTTATTCAGAGCCACAAAAACCCTAAGCAAATGTGGCAGCATTCACTGATGAAAATGGTATGCAATGTCTTTATCACCAGATGGCTAAATGGATCGCTGTTCAACAATACTCATTACGGAAGGCCTGTAAATTAGAACTGTAGCTTGGGGGTGGAGAGATAATTAAATCCCCCACCCACATTTCTGGTTTGAATTGGAGTTTATTATTT